AAACTAAGGCGCTTACCCAAGTCTGAGTGTGTGTGTGTGAGTGGTGGAGGTGGACAGGGAGGGAAAAATAACTATGAAGCTAAGAGTTAGAAGGTTCCACTTTGGAATGGAATGATGGAACTCTAGAATCTTGAGTGGTTTTGCTTGAATAGCAGCTCTGAGGAACCATGTAAGTGATCACTAATCTCTGAAACTGCTTTTTCATCTGACAGCTCATCCTTCCTCTGATGATTAGGGCATCACCTTCACTGCACTTACCTCTAGCTTTGTGCCTAGACTTAAGGATAGCCCTATGATTGGAACAATGTTGGAGAGTTGGTTGAGTGATGATTCTGCTCTTGCCCTTTGTTCCCAAGGGGCAGCTGCAAAGTGTCCTTATTCAGGTGGAGCTGCCAGGCTGGCTTGGACATAGGGGGTAGGGTAGGGTCCCTGGCTGTCTTAGTTGAATCCATAGATGTGGTGTCAGAACTAGGGATTTCAGGAACTCACACCCTTATCTACATTCTTCCATTATCTAAAACCAACTGGGCAGGGCCAGTCTCAAAGTGCTGTGATTTTCTTCTTTGCTGAATAGTTACAGAGATAGGCACATACAGGGTATGTATAAATTAAATTTTACTCACAGGTACGTATAAATTAAATTTTCCATTGCAGCAACCATATGACCTAGAAGAGGCTTGGCATCCATGTGATGTGAATGAGCTGGAGCCACACTAGGAAAACCTACTAGGATGTGGCTAACCATTTCTACCTACCACAGCTCCTATTGTTTTAATAACTACTGATGAAAGTAACATTTGGATTAACTTGGGGCTCTGCTCTTGCTTTCTGCTTTCAAGTTATGCCTCAATGATCTGATGAGGGATGTTCAAGGGACAATTCAATATCAAAACCACATAGGGAAAATAGTCATAAAGATAATTTATTAACTTAAAATCTCATTTATATGTAACATTTGCCCACATTCAAATTATTATATGCTGAGCGGAGGATAAAATGTGAACTGGGAGGAGTATGCCATCCTCTGCACTTCCTCTACCAGACTTCACCCAGCTCCGCTCCTTTAGGCCTCTTCCCTTCTTAGACCCCGGCCAGCAAATCTCTAGTATAAACCTGATACTGGAAGCAGGGCCAAGTGAAAAGAGTGATTCCCAGGGAGGAGAAAAAGAATCCTCCCACCCATGATACTTGGGGTGCTTTAGCTAAGTCCCTACCATTTAGGAATTTCAATGGACATAGCTTGTCCTTTTCCATTTTGCAAACATCAATTGGTTTTTCTCACGGGATGGTGGGTAGCAGGGTAGGCATAGTTGTAGCACTATCTGAGGTACCCTCAATGTCTGGTGCAGTCTAACGTTGTGGAAGTGTCTAGAGATGGAGCAAGCAAACCCCAATCAGGCACTGTGGGAGCACTGGTGAGGGAGGAAAGGCAGATTCCTTTGTGCCACACCTTTGCTCTCAGCGGAATTATTAGGTTAAGCCTCAAGGCTCTACAACAATCATTTCATATATTTGTATATATATGAATGAAAAGTAAATTTAACACAGATTAAAACAACATGTATGAATACTATTCAGTTAATAATGACACACTAGATTATATGTTCAATACAAATTCACATCCTATTGCCCCCACACAAACACCAACAAAATTCCTATAGGATAGAGAAAGGCAGCTGGTGGGTGGGCGTGGCATGAAAAATGTGTTCATTGAAACTCTAATGAAAATCCAACTATGCTTCCAAATTGCACATGGGGGGGTATAAAAAAGTAATTAAATCCACTCTGTGGCATGTGACCCCCAAAAGACTTCAGTTTACATTTAGACTTATGATTCTTCTAAAGGCAAACAAAATTCTTAAAGAAATCACAATTATTTTCTTGATCTTCTGACATTTTTTCTCCACTGGTGTCCAAAAAGGGTTATTATGGTTCTGGTTGATCTGAGGGAGTCAGGAACACTTAAGCTGGTCATAACACATAGGGCAAAGGAAAAAAAAAAAAAACAGCACTGGAAACCTACATTTAATTGAGAAAATGGCTGAGGGCTCTTAGTTTGCCATCTACTCATTTCTGTCACCCCAAAGACTTTTTGAAATAGGATGAGACTGATTTGTTTGCTTTTGAAGAGGTGAAGGAAATTGTAATCAGGCTGGGTGTGGGGACTCACACCTGTAATCCTAGCACTTTGGAAGGCTGAAGCAGGAGGGCTGCTTGAGGAATCCTACACCATCCTGGGCAACATACTGAGACCATGTGTCCATAAGAAATAGAAAAATTAGCCAGGTGTGGTGGCACACACTTGTAGCCTTGGCTACTTGGGAGGCTGAGGCAGGAGGGCCACTTAAGCCTGGGAGTTTGATGTTGCAGTGAGCTATCATGATGCCAGTGCACTCCAGCCTGGCAACAGAGTGAGACCCTAACTCAAAAAAAAAACTGTAATCTGCAATGACTTTTCAACTTTTTAAGGGAATGATGATTAGTTAGTCTTGAACTTTGATTTATCTTAGAATAAGAAGGTATTGGTCAGCTCCATTCTTCTCTTCTCCAGAGAACAAAAAGACCCAAGTAAAGAAAGCCTGGATAGAGGTAACAGGTCCAGGCTCAGCCTGAAAAGACATGAGATTTGAATCTATCTGGACAGGGAGGCTGCTGGACAAGGTTTTTCTCAACTAAGATAATCTAGTTTTCATAAGAATTCAGGGAAGCCATGTAGGCTCACTTTGTGCCAGTTGCCCTGGGAAGTCCAACCATGGCTACAAACACTAACTGACAAAGTCTTGCTCCCAGGTTACGTCTGGGCTTGGTAAAAGAAAGAGGAAAAAAGCAACACCTTTCAGATCAATGAAAGTTGTCAAGTAATACACATCTGGGAACATATCTTCCCCTTGTTTCCAATGACTGGAGAGTTTTAGAGTCACTGGCTCTGCCAGGCTCATCATACTGCCCATCAGCTTCTGAGGCTGCCAGAGCCTACTGCAAGCTGACGGACCCATATCAAGACTCTGCGGAATAGAAAGGCAGAAGAGAAAAAAAGTACTCAATTGTACTTCTTCCACAGGCTTTCTCTAGGTCAAAGAGAAGCCCAGTGGGAAAGAGAGGAGACCCTGTTTGGGTGGTGGAGCATAATCTGGCAAATGTCTGGTTCTTTTGGCCAGGGGTTAGTGGCCCTAAGCAGAGCACATGCAGAGTCTGGTCAACCCATGACCTTTAATCCACATGGAGTGAAGGGAGGGCCAAAGAAACCCATCAGCCCTCAGCAGCTGGGTGTCATTTTCCCTCTAGTGGCATCATCCCCAGACACAAACATTGGAAGTTCACAAGACTGCACATGATGTTTTTCCATTCTTGTGATACTTCACTTAGAAGAATGGTCTCCGGGTCCATTCAAGTTAATACAAGGGGTATTAGTTCACTTTTTTCTTATGGCGAGTAGTACTCCATGGTATACATATACCACACTTTTATTAATATACTCATGTATTGGTGGGCACTTGGGTCCTTTCCACATCTTTGCAATTACGAATTGTGCTACTATAAGTATTTGAGTGCAGGTGTCTTTTTTTTATAGACTGTTGTTTTTTCCTTTGGGTAAATACCCAATAGTGGATTGCTGGATTGAATGGTAAGTCTACTTTTAGTTCTTTGAGGTATCTCCATACTATTTTCCATAGAAGTTGTACTCACTGTTAAATTGGAATAAATCAACCATCACTTGTGCACATATAGAAATAACACTCATCAAAAATCAAGTAGATTGGCTTGGCGCCTGTGGCACAGTGGTTACGGCCTCAGCCATATACACTGAGGGTGGCAGGTTTGAATCCAGCCCAGGCCAGCTAAACAACAATGACAACTGCAACAAGAAATAGCTGGGCGTTTTGGCCGTTGTCTGTAGTCCCAGTTATTTGGGAGGCTTAGGCAAAAGAATCACTTAAGCCCAAGAGTTTGAGATTGCTGTGAGCTGTGATGTCCTAGCATTTTACCAAGGGCAACATTGTGACTCTGTCTCAAAATTAAAAAAAAAAAAAATCAAGTAGCTTGGAGGAGGGAGGAAGGGATGGGTGAATTCACACCTAACGGGTACAATGCATATGACCTTCCTGATGGGCAGTATTATCCCATTGTACAAAAGCAATATATGTAACCAAATGTTTTTACCCCTCTAATATCCTGAAATTAAAAAAAAAGTGCATGTGATGATGGAGGGTGAATAATCTGGACACTTGGGTCAAAATGAAATACCTACAGATTGATCTTATTTCTATGGGAAATTGGAAGTACGGTCACCTGAAGAATGGAGGGAAAAGTTCCAGATATATGCCTCCACTGTGTTTACCAGCACAATCATTCCTTATGTGATTTAAAGTGGCCTATTTCCAAGGGTTGGTTGGGTGTCCACCCATTGAGCCCTTTGGTTGCTGGATAAACAGCTGCCAGGGTGATGATTGCTGAGACTGACCCACAATTGGACTGCAGGCATTGCTCGTGATGGTAGGGGCATCAACTGCAAAATTAAATGACCACTTACAGGTAGTGGTGACAGAATAGGTTGGAAAAGTCTGTATTTCTAAAATTGCTTGTGTTGCAAAGGGGCTACTTTTTAATTATAGAGTTCTTCAATGAAAAGGTTTTTCCTTGTGCACAAAAGTAAGCCAGCCTTTTTCAGCAGAAGGTGGAGAAGAAAATACTCTTAAAATGAGGCTGAATATGCAATAGTCTCTGCTATGTAGAAAGAATCCTATGTAAATTTTCTAATCTCTGGCATAGAAAAGATAATGCCCTCCCCACCCCATCCCCTCTTAGTGTGTTAGCTACTGGTTGATCTGATTGAAAACGCCTTGGGTTGTTAGAATGTTTCTATATTCAATACATAACAGGAAGCCAGTGAAATAGGTCCTTGTGAAAGGAGAGATCAAATTATTTCACAATCAAATAATTTAAATTCTTAGATCACTAAGTGAAGAAGTCCACAAATTTCCTGTAGAAATTTTGTGGCATTTGCTTTAGTGTCAAATGAAAAATATATCTTCCAGAATCTGGTCCTCCTCCAGGTCTTCAGGAGTCCTGCCTGGTGCCCTCTTCTTCCAGGTGGGTTTCAGAGGACTGAGTTGGTAAGTGCCGTGATTCCAGGTCCCCACATCTCTAGAGGGCTGGGGGTGAGGTTTGGGAGCAGATTTAGGACTCAGAGACTGAACCAAATCCAACAGAGATGTCTCATACCTGTAAGACACACAACCCAGACAGAGAAGGATTAGATCATCAGAACATTAGAATCTAAGGAGCCCGGCAGAGATGGGCTGCCCAGGGCAAAAATCAGGTCCTAGATCATATTTGAATTATGTGCAAGAGGCTTCCTAGGGGAAGTGTAGGGAAGGTAAACACTAGAAGAGCTTCAAGAATCAAGGTCTCTGTGGCCTGTCCATAAGCTTTCATCATCTGACCTTTAACATTTCTTTCTAACTTACTGAGAGAGACTGTAGAGTGGGAAAAGTAATCATAATAATCGTAATGATTTTAGTAGCAACATTTATTGCATGCTTACTCTTGGGGAGTGTTCTTAATACTCTGCATATAAAATGTTTAACTTCCCTTTAATCCTCTAAACAACCCCATGAAGTAGGTATAGACTACTCTGATCTATTATATATATGAGGAAACTGAGGCTCAGGGAAGTAACTCACCTAACAGAAAGCTATTACATGGCAGAGTCTAGAATTGAACCCAGGTAGTTTTTCTCTAGCACTCCTATCCAGGACCCTAAAGCTGTCTCTCAAAGTCTTTGTAGAAAGACAGGCTTGGTTCAAATCCCTACTCTACCATTTTCAAGCCATGTGATATTGGTGAAATTATTCAATCCCTCAGTTTACTCTTCTTATCTGTAAGAGGCTAACAGAACTCCTGTTTGGATCAAATGAATTAGTTACTATTATATAAGTGAAAATACAATAGATACTCAACAAATGCTAGTTTAATTCCTGTTATCCTATTCCCACTTTCTTTAGAATCTCAGAAAAAGAAACCTTCATCTGCACTATAGAGAGAGAGAGCCCTCCAAAGAAAGACTACCTTGGTATCCAGCGTTCTTATCAGAAAGAGGAAACTTTGAGAAGCTTAGAGACAGATAAATTAATTATGGTTGATGACACACTCACTCAAGCCCCATTGTGCATATTTCTGGAATGGAAAACCAAAGGCATGAATAATCTCTGTCCTCATACTCATTCACACAAGGGGTCAAGTAATAGCTACTGAAAAGTCATGAAGCAATGTGTTTGTGACTTGTCCAGTCACACAGCACCCTACTCTTAGAAGGGCCCTGCTCTTGTTTAATGCTTTCCTGCTGCTGTCTTGGAATGCTTAATAATTTTATCTTCGAACTTGTATTGTGCAAGTGAGTCTAATGGGATAATGAAGCATGCATGTGATGAGGGGAGATATGATTAGGCGGGCATACACACATGGGCTCCAATGTGTAGGCTAAATAGTTGGCCTGGTTGCCTGGTATGCACATTCATGTCAGAAGCAGTCTGTGGTGCTCAAGGAGTTCAGGGGGCAGATTAATGGTGGTGATGATGGGAACAGCAGCAGAAGCAGCAATGATGGTGGCAGTGGTGAGAGATTGGTTTGTCTGTCTGTTCCCAGAGCCCATTCTTGAAGCAAAAATATTACTTTTCTGGGCTCAGACAGGAACATTGGGACAGGAACTTCTAGCACTCCGGAAATAAAATTTGTCAGTAAATTATTATAAAATGAAAGCGTATACATGGATATTATGAGAAAGCATTATCAAAGAGATAGTATAATCCTTCAAAGAGTATAGAATCTCTGGTTTTTAAAACTGCCATGGGGGGGGGAAGTGGCAAGATGGCTGACTAGAGCCAGCTTTCCACAGAGGCTTCCATCCAGAAGGAGAGTTAAAGGACAGAAGTTTAGCAAGTAAGCTGATGGTCTGGAGCTGAGCCAAGAAAGAAGGTTGAAGAATGCACATCAACCTTGCTGAGGTGAGCTGCAACCCCAAGGATACAAACAATAGGTACTAAATACATCGCCAGACGGAAGTCCCCTCCCCCATGAGAACGGCTCGCAGTATACTTTCTATAAACAAGTGAGCAGAGTTTAAACTTCTTCCCATTTTATCCCACGGGAGAGACCCTTTAAAAACCGGACCTCCTCCCCCTACTAGGGTGCCATGGCACTCTTCTGCCAGGCATAAAACTGTATAAAACTGTATATATTCTCTACCTGCAATTCTAAACTGCCAGCACTCCCTGGCACTGTCACTCCAAGGTCTGGAAACCTGTCCCCCATGGAGTCCAGATTCTTGGGCATTTTCTTGAGAGGTGTGGACAGGGTGTGGGCTGTTGCAGGTCAGTGCTGATTCTGTGGCATGAGGGTAAGGAAAAGACGGTGGATTGAAGGAACCATACAGGAGAGGCAGAGGCGGTACCCCCTGGCACACAGCAGCAGCAGGAACAATAGGGTTCACACCCCTGGGGATATTTTGAAGAGATACTCCCTGTCACTATGGGCAACCAGAGAAATGTGGGCATCTTTTCCTGTGGCAGACACTGTTGGAACAGATCTGGGATGCTAATGCAGGCCCATGAGCAAAGGGTATGTCTGAGGTGGTACCTGCCTGAACCGGGCATGCAGAGATGGCATACTCCCAGGGTGGGGCTGACCAGAAGGACTGCTTTAGTGAGCCTAAGAAGCACCCTGCCCTCAGAGGATCATAGCTGAGACAAAGGCAGGCAGGCAGAGGCTGGAACTCAGAGCTGAGTGTGAGCTCTAACCGCACCCACCCCAACAGACTGTAGCGGAGGTAGACATACCAGCTCCGGGCAGTGGCACAGACTGGGGCTGAGTCGCAGTTTCTGTGAACTCAAATAGCACCTGGCTACAGGGGAATATAGCCAGGACAGAATCACAAATTCTGTGAAAATATGTGTCAGTAACATCAATCAGGGGCAGGGCTGGAACTGAGTGAATTGCCCCAGCTTCCATTAACCACCTGAGGTTGTCAGGCCTTAAGCTCCCCCTGCTGGATGGTGGCAGTGTGTGGAGGCCAGGCTGAGGAGACATAGATCTCCCTATGACTCAGGCAGGTGCAACCCCCTGGAGCATCTGCTCATGGGAGGGAGGGGTCACAGCCCTGTACAGTTACCAGTGACTGGGTGTGACAGAGGTGTAAGGTGGGGAAGGAGGCATCTATCTTCCCAGACTAATTCATTTGCTGGGGGCAGTCCTTCTGATACCATGGAGCAGCAGAATGAGCCAGTCATACTGGCTATCTAGTCGTCAGAGACCTTGTGAACTCTCCCACTTGAGACCTGGTGCTGACTGGGACAATTGATTTGGATCTCCTGGACTGGACCAATCACCCGAGGATTATCCAAAGTGGTACCCTGGGTGTGTGGTAGTGGGAAGGTTTGATTTTCCTTTTCAAGTTGTTGCCCATGGGGGGTAGGGTGACTTAATTGCTGGTATTTCTCCATAGCTGAGACTTCAACCCAGAGTAACTGATTCACTAGGGTAGGATAGAAACCAGCTGAAAATAAGACAGAGCCACTTAACTCCACCAAACCAAGTAAGTCCCCATAACACAGGGCCATAGCACTGTACAGGTCCTTTGCAAAGCTCTAGGGGATAAGGTACAGAGACCAGTCCCAACTCTTGGGACTAGTTAATCACTATTCCAGGAGCCCCTCCAACCCAACTTCACCTAATCTGCTCATCTAGCCAAACAGTGTATGATCACGGGGCAGAATCATGGGGAAAAACTCTGGTAACATGAATAACCAGAGTAGATCAATTCCCCCAAGGAACGATATGGCGGACCCTACTGAAGATCCCATTCATAAATAAATGGATGAGAGATCAGAAATTGAATTCAGCATTTGGATTGCAAATAAGATTAATAGAATGGAGGTAAAGTTGGGATTAGAAATCCAAGGAGCATTTCAAAAGTTGTCTCAAAAATTCAATGAATTCAAAGACAAAATTAACAAAGATTTTGACACACTGAGACAAGAATTTGCAGCCCTCAAAGATCTGGGAAATACAGTAGAATCCCTCAGTAAAAGAATGGAGCAAACAGAAGAAAGGATTTCTGACATTGAAGACAAAGCTTTTGAACGCTCCCAAATGCTCAAAGAGAAAGAAAAATGGAGAGCAAAAATGGATCATTATCTCAGAAAGCTCTGGGATAATTTGAAGAAAACTAATATTCACCTTATAGGAATTCCTGAAGGTGACAAGGTGGCTTTGCAAAGCACAGAGGCTCTTCTTCATGAGATTATGAATGAGAACTTTCCAGACATGCCAAGAGATTCTTGAAATTCAGATAGCAGACAGTTTCAGAACCCCAGCATGACTCAACCTGAATAC